GTTTTTAAAGAACTGCAAATATGTTCATCTAAAAATCTCTCTTTTCTGTAGTCAATCGTCAGATTCTAAAAAGAGCAAATATTTCCACTCCTCTGAACATCACTTTTATGTTAGGTTTTTTTGAAATAAATTCCTGGAAGAAATAATATTTTAAAAGTATAGGTATTTAAATTTATTTTTTATTATCTCAATTTGTATTATATATATATATATACATATATATATGTGTATATATATATATATCTTAAAATTACATTATTAGGTATAAATGTTTAATAACTCTATATATCTTATTTTTATTAATTTTATCAGTACATTTAGGGTATACAATATAATGACATTCATCATTGGAAATTTGCACCTTTACATAATCCATCTTGATTCTTATTTTTTCCCATTCTCCTGCCCTCAGTCAAACCCCTCCCTCTCTCCCTATCTGCAGAGACTTTGTTTCCATTTTTTTCATTGTTTCATATTAATTCCATTTCCCTCTTTCTTTTCTACCCCTCCCATCTCCCCTTTCCCTTTACACCTTTTCTTCCTATTTCACATTATCTATTATATTTTAGTCCTTATTTGCACTTTCCATTTCTCAAACAGAGAAGCTATTTGGTATTTGCACGTGTGTCCTATTTATTTAACTTAAGAGTATTGCCTCAATGTGCATCCATTTAGCTATAAATGTCTCTAACATTTAGTTCTTTATGGCTGAGTAGTACTCCATTTTATTAAAAAAAAACACATTTTCTTTATTCAGTCTCCTGTTGATGGGCAATTGGACTGCTACACAGATTCAGTGCAACCCTAGATGAAATCCCAGCAGCATACTTCACAGAACTTAAGAGAGAAAAAAAAAAAAAGCAAAAATTCATTTGGAACAAGAAGAGATCTAGAATAGCAAAAGTAATTTTAGGCAATAAAGAGAAGGTCCCCAACTTGAAACTATACTACAAAGCTTCTGTGATAAAAACAGCATGGTACTGGCAAGGAAACAGACCTGAAGACCAATGGAACAGATTAGAAGATGCAGAAACAAGTCCAGATGCACTCAGCCACCATCTTTGACAAAGAAGCCAAACACCCTCACTGGCGGAAAGACAGACTCTTTAGTATGGTGCTGGAAAAACTGGTTTTCAACATGTCAAAAATTAAAACTAGACCTATATCTCTGACCATGCACTAAATTAAAATTGAAATGGATTAAAGAACTAAATATTAAAACAAAAACACTAAACTATCTGGAAAAGAGGTTAGGTAGAATTCTGGAAGACAATGGCCTAGGAAAAGATTTTATGAACAAAACCTCAGTTGCCCATGAACTAGCATAAACAATCAACAAGTGGGATGTCTTCTTATTAAAAAGCTTCTGGTAAAAAAATAAAAGCTTCTGCATAGCAAGAGAAACCACCAACAATGTGAAGAGACAACCCACAGTGTGGGGAAAAAATTTCACCAGCTGTTCCTCAAACAAAAATCTACTATCTATGTTTGTTTGTTTGTTTGTTTTTGGTACCAGGGATTGAACTTGGGTCCTTGCACTTGCAAGGCAGGCCACAGAACCACTGAGCTAAATCCCCGGCCCCAAATTCTACTATCTAGAATATATAAAGAACTTAAACAAATCAGACCTCTCAAATTAAAAAACCCAATCCAAAAATGGGCATCTGAAATGAACAGATATTTTTCAGACAAAGAAGAAATAACAAGTAAACATGAAAAAAGATTCAACATCACTGGTAATTCAAGAGATGTATACCTTATTGTCAAATGAACCTACTTATCAATTTTATTTTCTCTAGTTCTTTTTAAACTTAAAATCTTTACATGGTTGTATGCCTTGCTTTTACTTTTTATTTGAAACATTTGCTTTTTATCATTTTGTCATGCTTTTCTAGTCTTTTTATTTGTTTTTGGACTAGCTAAGTTTTCTTATTATTCTCTGCTATCCTATCTATTGGCTTTTCAACTATACATTCTTTTGATAATTTCATTTAGTGATCAATCTAGAGATTGTAATACACATCTTTGAATGACTACTTTACCACTTTGAACACACACACACACACACACACATATACACAGTGATGTTAGAAACATCATATCAAAATTCCTTTTACTTTTCATTTGTGTTATTTTTGTCATTTATTTTCCTTTCTACTATTGCAGATATCTAAATATAATGTGACTTTTGTTGTTTTAAGAAGTAAATTTCCCTTAAAATAGAAGAGAGACTTTTAAAATATTTCTGCACATATTATCCTTTCTGGTATTGTTTATATTTCCTTTGTTTCCTTTGGTTCATCTGAAATAAGTTTTCTTCATTATGAACAACTCTGTAATTCTGGCTGTGATTTGTGAATATTTGTTTCATTTGTCAGAAAATAGTTTTACTTTACATTTATTTTTGATTTTTTTGCTGAATATAGATTTTTAGGTTGCAAGTTTATTTTTATTTTAGCATTTTGAAGATATTACCCCATTGTCTTCTCTGTTTTATTCTTTTTGTTAAAAAGTCAGTTGCATTTCCTGATATTTTCTCTTGAATCTAATAATGCCATTTTTTATCCTTCCTTCACTTTGATGATTTTGAAAATTTTTCTTTTATTAATGATATATTCCTATTTGACTATGATGTATTACTATGTGTCTTTCTTTGTGTTTATCATGTTTGGATTTGGTGGGTTTCTTGAATCTGTAGGTTAATATTTTATTTCAATTTTGGAAAAATCTTTGGCCTCATTTCTTGTCTATTTCATTCTTTCTCCTTTTGGAAATTTAATTACTCATATGCTAGTTGGTAGCTGTTTGGAAGTGATTTGCTTCTACCACCCAAGCTCAAAAGAAAAAAAAAAAAAGGAAGACAAAAAGAAAAAGTTAAGGGAAGAAGAGAAAAAGATATGTTGAAGTCCCAATCCCAGCCCCTGGAAGATGCGTTAAGGTGGGATCATACAGGAGTAAGTGGCCCTAGTTCAATGTGGCTTCTTTATAAGAAGATGGATATGTGAAATGAAACACATATACCCTGAATACTAAGGGAAGAAGGATGAAATGGAAAGACCTCATTCAATAGTACCGGAGGAGGATTAACCTGGTGTCTTCATCCATTTTCTGTTCCTAGTCACACAGTTGTGCAGAATGGGCAAGTTATAAAGAAAAAAGTGTTTGCTTTGTCTCACGGTTCTGGTCCAAGGTCAAGTAAAGGGTCTATATCCAACCTGGTCCTCAGTGAGTGCTCGACCTTTCTCTCTGCCCTACTTCATTGTGTCACCCAAATGAATTACATAAAATGACATGCTGACAATGACATGCAAATAGTATCACATGATATACTATGGAGCAGAACCAATTATTAAAAGTATGAGTATTTAAAGTTTTTATTCTCTCAGTGTGTACTTCATATATATGTTTTGAAATTACATTATTAGGTGTACATGTTTAATAATTCTATATCTTATTTTTGAATGAACCTTCTTACCAATTTCATTCTCAATATTTCTGTTTATACTTTTTGCCTTAAAATCTTTACATAGTTGGTTCAACATGAATTTCACAGAGGACAAATCAAAATAAAGCCATAGCCATGGGAGAGACAGGATGGAAAAGAGAGAAATGCATTTCTCACTTTCATTTTATGTGGTTCATGTGGATGACACAACGAAGTAAGTCAAGGAAGAAGTCCTAGTATTTACTGGGGACTAGGTTGGATGCAGGCTCTTTACTTAAATGTGATGTTTTAATCTTTATGCAGCCTTAGCAGGCAGTTTTTATTATCCACTGTAGAGGGGAGGCAGGATTCAAGATGCTCATTATCAATAATTCGTCTAACATAATTTACTTTCAAAGTGACAGTTGAATTTCAAATTCAGTTTTGTCTGATTTAAAAATTGAAGGAAGGGTTTTATTTTTGGTTTCTGGAATTAAAACACTGAGAGTGAATAAAACAAAATCATCCTATGTCTTTTTCTAATAACAGAAACTATATTATCATAGATCAATGTTTTTTAAAACTGGAATTTTTGAAACTTTAGAAATGAAACATAGACCCCCTGACATTCTTTGTAAAATCTTATAGTGTAGGCCCATAATTAGTCACCCCTAGGATGTTCATAGTACATTCAAGAAGGTAGATTTTCTCATGTCACGATTTGATAAGGCAGGATTCATGAGGGATGAGTAGGACATAATGCTCTCATGAAGTTCATCATTGGGTAGAAAAGCTGACATGTAAATAGATACTTAGACAAAAGATAAATGATTCAGTAGAAACGTGAAAATAACACTGTGGGAATACAGAAGGGGAAATCACTAATGCTGTCTAGTCATTGCAACGAAGTGTCAGATATTTTTCTCAGGGAAACAACAGTAGTAATTCTCCATGTGAACCCTGTGGGGAACTACAGATATCCAAGTCTCAGAGGTATGGGAACATTCTGTGTAGGTAGAATCCACAGAGCAGTAGCAGGCAGTGTGTCAGGGAAGGCAGGAAGTTCATGGGTGATCTTGTATGCTAAGCTAATGACTGGACTTTATGTGGACTAATAGTCTTTAGCTTTTCAGGTTAGGAACCTTTCTGACAATCTGATCCCAGATACCATGCCTTCACTTTTATATATGCACCCAAATTTCTGTGTGATTTTAGGGGCTGCACAAAAGAGGAACTTTGTAGTATGTGATGGGACTCTTGTAGGCAGCTCAGTGAGGGTCTTCTAGGGTTTCATTTATGTCACAAATCGTGCAGCAGTACTAAAGGGCTTTGATATTTAGATGAAGAGATTCATCATTTACAGGCTGTGGCAGAGAAATGGTTATGCCTCATATCCAAGCATTGGAAATAGAAAGAGAAAGGGGGAGACAATTTTGAGGTGTATAATAAGAGTTTTTTTAAAATCTAGTACCAGGGATCAAACTCAGGACCTTGCGTTTGTGAGGCAGGCACATTGACACTTAGCTAAGTCTCTGGTGCTTGAGCTGTATTTTAGAGGGAAAATTTATACAAGTCCAGAATGGACTGGATGGAGCTGGATACTAAAAGAGAAGTCTAGGCCATAGGTATGTTGTCAGGCCCGAGGGTCTCTTCCATCCTTGTCTGGGGAAATGCAAGGCTTCTCTTTCATGTAACACTAAGTGTAGGATAATTTCTTTTGTTCCTTCTTTTCCTCAGAGATTGGTCTTCATGTTCATTGTTCTCAATATGAAAACACTGGGGATATGTTCAACTTTTCAGTTGGATTCCGGGCAGTACTATGCAGACTATACTCAACAGTTCACATATTCCCATTCTTAATCTGTTTAATCCTGCCAGTGGCCCCTGTTCCTTCACAGGCCACTATGATTAGAGGTCTGTTTCTGAATTATCTTCAGTGACTTCCTCCTAACTGTACAGTGGCAGTGCTGAGGAGCTTCTTGATTGATATTCCTAATGAGCTTTTATCTCTCAGGATTTATTAATCAATGGATCAAAATATTGTACTATAGGTGATTAAATGCAATAACTCCAAACTACCTCAAGCAAAATAGATTAAAATTCAGTGTACAAATTTCTATGCTTCATAATCAGTTTCTCCAGTAGTAAAAGCCTAATTTGTCAGCTCTGGCTGCACATTCCTTGATCCCCATCACACCTGCATACAAGTAATGGCTATCTTTGGACAGCTTCTGAGTCTGTAAGAAATCTTGAAAGGTGCTTATAACCTAGTTACTTTCATAAAAACACTAGCAAATTGTTGAGTAAGGCTGAAACCAGAAAAATACATATTTAATTTTATTTGGAGTTTTTATTTGAAATTGTTCTCCCTACTTCGTAGAGCTGTGCCCCAGTATAGATATTTGGTATTTAAACTAGTGATATATTTTCTAATTTGTATGCAAAGCAATACATATGGAGTTTTGACCAGTGAAGAAATTTATATTATTTTGTGAGATGGACTAAATATTGTTGACAAGAGGTTACTGTTTTGACTTATAAGGGTAAGATTCTCAAGGAGTTGATAAGTCCCTGTGAGCTCATCTCCACACATGGGAGTGCTGCACACTTTGTCTTCAGACCAGAAATGATGTGGATTCAGTGAAATGAGAAGCAAATGTGTTCATGTATTGTCAGAGGAGCTTGAGTGGGAGTAGCTAGTTTGCTTGTCTATTTTGGTGCTATACAGATAAAGTATCTGCCACTTTATAGTGAGAAAAAGATAATAGTTCAAGCTATGTGAGTCATATTAGTCCTGACTTCTTGGTTGCCAAGAGCAGAAATTTGCTACCCAAAGTTGCCTGTAAAGTTGTTTTTATATTTATTTCACATTAGTCAAAGGACAGGAGTCATATCTGGCTGAGAATTCACAGGATGGGCTGCATTTTTAGCAATTTTCAAGAGTGGCTGCTGCAAGTCATGTTGGTGTCTGATGGTTAATATGACTTCCCATCCATTTTCTCTCTCTATAGTTTTTATTTCTCTTAGTGTTGTTGAGGGATCATATATTGGGTAGAAAGTGAGCAGGATAGAAAAAGTCAGGGACTGGGGAGGGCTGGGGCAGAACAGTCAAGGACAACTTCTATTATTGATTCTAATGGAGATATATCGCTTTAAAATAAAATGGCTTTAATAATCATGTTGGTAAGTACCGTGAACAAGGCACCGTGCTACAACTTTTTCCTATTTCCCTTGTCTAATTTAATCTTAAAATACCTATTTAAAGTTGACAGGATTATATCTGTATTGCAGATAAGGAAACTAGAGTTTTGAGAGAAAGAAACAAATCATTGTCCAAGGTCACATCTAAAGTAAGCAGTGATGCTAAGACTGACGTTTAAGTCTGCTTGAGTCAAATGAATAGCTTCTTACCCCAGTGCAATATGATGAACTCATCTTAACTAAGAATTTACTACCCTCAAGGTTTTGAGGGAATTTTTTTCTTTGTCCAAAGAGGAGAGGGAGAAATAATGCTAATGGTTTCAGAAAATGCATCTCAACAGTCGTTAGGTAGTCAGGATAAGCTTGCACTATCTGCTAAAACAAGTAACTCCAACATCACAGTAGCTTCAGCCAATAAATGTTTACTTTTCCACTCTCTCTCTAATTATGATATTCTTGGTTGAGTGGCTCTCTACAAAATAATTTAATGTGCAAGAGGTAACTCAAAAATCCCTGCTTTTTCTGTTTTTGTGCCTCTATCATCTTTAACAGGTTTTCTCTAAATTGCTGAAGAAAGTAAATGTGTGGAGAAGCCCAACTGGTGTTAACTACTTTGTACTGGAAATTACACATTATTTCCACTTGAAATCTTTGAATGAGAACAGGCATATGGCTTTTGCTGGAACACCTAAGTGTCTAATGAGTGTCTACCATGCTATGTGTTTATTAGAAGTGTTTTTCTCAATTTCTAAGTATAGAGCGGATTTTTAATCATATTTGTGTTATTAATTTCTAAAGTAATCAAATTCTATGCATAAAAATAATTTGTAAAAACAAAAATCCTTTGAATTGTATTGATACTACTTTCATAATTTTGTATGTAGTAATTTTTCATGAATATTCCACATAACGCAAGAACAGTATGTATATTTCACCATTTTTGGCACTGATTAATGCATTAGTTCAATGTAAGTGTACTGTATGCCTAAAAAATACTAATCAACTCAATGAGAAATAAAATAAATGCAGTAGTTAAAGCTAATTAATTTGGTAGTACTGTTTGTATCCTAATTAATTTTTTGCATACTTGAGAAAATTGTATGAAAATCTCCTATCATGGTGTAACATTTGTTTATTTTTCTTTATAATCTTCTCATGCTTTTAAAAAATTGGGTTTGTATTATTAAGTATGTATATTTTCTGGCATTCTTTAATCTTTTCTTTTCTTTTTTTTTTTTTGGTACTAGGGATAGAACTCAGGATCTTGCCCTTTTGGGCAGGTGGTAGAACCACTGAGGTAAATCCCCAGCTAGTATTCCTCAAACTATTTCACAAGAGTGTTACAGAAGCCAGAAGAGGGTGATGAAAATTAAATTCCTAGGATAGAAATATCAAACTTATACTTAATTGAGTCTAAATTCAATATTACCTTATGTTGTTGGGCTCAGTGACACGTGTCTGTAACTCAGCTAATGGGAAGACTGGGGCAGGAGGAACACAAGTTCAAGGCTCACCTCAGTAACTCAGTGAGAACCTGTCTCAAAATCAAAACAAAATGGGGAAAGGGTTGGGCATGCAGCTCCATGGTAGAACACCCCTGGGTTTGATCTCCCATAACTAAGATAAAGTAAATAAACAAAGCAATGACTTGGAGGTGTTGGAAATTAAACTTTCTTTCACAAACTCATCCTGAGGTGAAGGGGTCAGCCAGCAAAGTGACTCCATACAGTCACTCAGGCGCTTTTCTACCTGCACTTACTTGCTCATCACCACAGGTATTGTCCACCTGCAGGCAAAAAAATAGGAAGAGGGTGCATTTATGCTGTTGCTTCTTGAAAGAGGGGAAAAAAGACACTGGTGTCTTACTATTATTATTGTATTAAGCCCTCAGTATTTCACTCCAACTTATACATATATTTAACACTTTCTTTTCTGCATTTTAATGCTTTCTATGCTCTTTTGTTTCTGCCATCCCAGATTCATTTTTGATGCTTTTCCTCCCATCTGAAGAATATCCGTTGGAATTTTTATTTTTATTTTTTAAATTGAGTTTATTGGTACATTCTAGGTATACAGTACAGTTACATTCATTATTGGGATCTTGTACTTTTACATGACAGGTCTTGGTTCTCATTTTTTTCCCCTTGTCCTTGCCCTCCCTTCACTCTGGAATTTCTTTTAAGAAATTGCTTTCAGAAAACTCTATTTTTATTTGTCTGACAAGGTCTTTATTTTGTCATCATTCTTACAAACATTCAATGTTGCCAACCCTGCCCACATCCAGGCCATGTAAGGTTTACTGGGTTGTGTTTTACTCAGCAGAGCATCTAGTCCTGGTGGTTGAGAATTCCAACTAATTTTTCTCAGTATCATGAAAATATTTCTCCCTCTATCTCTTGATTTCAGCACTGCTGTTGAGATGCCATTCCAGTCAAATTATGAAGTCTTTCTTCTTCCTGTCAACTTGATGTTGTGTTCTGTTCGTGTTTTTTTTTTTTTTTGCTCTTTTTGATGGTGGCATTCTGCAAATACACTGTGATGGGTTTTGACATAATTTATTTTCATTTACTTTGGTTGGGTGTTATTGGGCTTCTCAAATCGGTAGAATATGTTTTAGCTACTACTTCAATATTCTCAGCCATTTAGTGATTGTTTCAGCCCTGCCTTTCCTCTTGTCTCCATCTGATAACCCTAAAATACCAGTTAGATTTATGTTGGAAATTATAATGCCATCCCTGTCATTTAAATGCTTTTTGTAGTTCTAATTACTTTATTTCTGTATGGCATTATGGATTTTTTTTCTTTTATTGAGTTTATTGGTACTTTTTAGGTACACAGTACAGTTACATTCATCATTGGGATCTTGTACCTTTGCATGACAGGTCTTGGTTCTCGTTTTTTATTTTTTAGAAATATTTTCTGCAATTCTCTCTTTTGTTTCATCTGATCTGTCAAATTTATCCCATGGTTTTAATTGCGTTTGCTACATTTTCATTTTGAAAAAAAAAAACCTTTGTCTTTCTTTAAATCTTAGTAATTACAAATAGTTTCTTATTCATATTTTAATCTCCCTTTTATTTGTTTTTTTCCTTATGTTTCTTGAATATATTGATAATATGCTCTTTAGGGGGATTTTTACTTTGTCTTCATTGAAACAGGCTATTTTCTGTGTAGTCCCTGGGGGCTTTCAGTTTTATGAAGTTGTGGGAAGTTAACATTTCCCATCAGACTCCTTACCTGCAGCATGCCTTGAAGTATTCCCTCTGTTTTTGATGTTGTAAGAGCTGAAGATTAAGATCCGACGTATAACCCCAATGCTGTCAGAGTAGAAGCCAGTCTCGGTGACAGGCTCCTATCTCTGGATTCTTGTTCACTTAGTTTTTAACTCTGAACTCTTTTCTCCCACTTCATTAACAGATTTAAAAGTTTTAGAAAACAATTCCTTCTGCATTTTTGAGTTATGGGCTATACTGTGACCATATAAAGTTGTATGTTG